ACACCACGACAAGCGCGGGGAGCGCAGCGGAGGCAGAAACCCTTCCCGCCCTAATTGTATTGGCGACGGACAGCCACCGCCGCTGAGGCACACGGGAGACGAGGCTGACCACGACCAGCATAAAATTATAAAATAAAATAAAATAAAATGCATCGTCGGGCCGCCGCGCCTTGCCGTTATCGGCGCGAACCGGTGACAGCCGACGGTCTCTGGAGCCCCCCCTCTCCTCCGCCTTTTCCCTGCTGAAGGACGGCCCTGGGATGCCGCCGCTGCTCGGGCAGCGGCAGCGGCCTCCACCGGCAGCTGCCAGAGGCATCGTCGTTGTCTTGCCCCGTCCGCCCCTCCCTTGCTCCCGGCCTCCCCACGGTGGCGGCCTCACCAGCGGTAGCGGCGGCGGGATCGCCCTTACTTCTTTCTTGATGGCGGCGCGGGAAACTGGGCGATAATCCCTCCGACCATGGTCTCGAGAGATTTGTCATCCCCCGCGCCTCGCGGTCCCTGGGTTGATGGTTGCGAAGATCCTGGTTGGTCTGTGGAGAAGTAGTCAAGTCGGGGGGGAAGGGGGGGGGGGGGGGGGGTAAGCATGTGGACGGACGTCGGCTTGCGAAGCATTTTGTGGATTCAGGGTGGAAGTACTTTACGGGACCAACAAAATGATACCGCCCCAAACGATCAAGATGCACAAACCGGTGGGAAGGCTGCTTTATTAGGTCGGATTAATACTACAAAAGTGATCAATCAAACACGGAGAGTTTATACTTGACGACGACTCTGGACGCGGGCGACAAGCAAGCGCGTGTGGCAAAAAAAGACGAATATATACTCGTGTGATTGAACCATGCACGTCAACATTGAATCTACCTGTGGTTGGTTCGAGACCAATAATAATCCGATTTCAGGGGACGGAAGGGCGGACCATGCAACCACACCCTGGCGCGACAATGGCTGGTTCGTGTGCAGACATGCATAGCACAAACACCGACGAATTTTGGCCGACCAGTGAGAGACCGGCTATTTTATGTAGTACACAAAGCAGCAGAAGTGACCGGGTGAAGCGGTGGGGTTCAATGGAAAAACAAATAAAAGCGGGCAGAGACGAATTGTGTAGATGCAGCAGGTACCAATACGGAAGAGCGGGACAGGTTCGCCAGTTTTTTTTTTTATTTCCGACTGGTCGTTCTCGCCGTGCCTTTGCAGGGTAGGTACACCCATTCTGGGGCGCTGGACGGATGGCGGAGGATTCTTGCTGAAAGAGGGGGTTGGGGAGAGATCATGCGGTTTTGGTCGTGTCACTCGCTGGGCTTTCCTCATCGTGTTTTTTCTCTTGCGAAACAAATTTGTTGTACCCCCTTGAACTGGCGGGTAATAAAAATATAAAAAAAAACAACGTTCATTTAGAATCAATCGTAGACACCCCGCCCCCCCCGCTCTTCTTCTGAAAGATGACAGATGGTTGCTGCCTGCGCATGCGCGATAATAAAAGTAGTGCTTGCTCTTTCTTCTCTGGCTCTCGTCGTGCTGACTGCTCTTGCCAAGTATGTCGGGATGATGCCTGCTGCTGCAGCAAGCATGCATCGCTTATTCAAACCCACGTCACTACAACTGTGAAGGTGCACACGAGATGTTTATGTCATGCGCGCCCCCCCGCTTGAAGAAAAAATTGACCCCACAGATGGAGAGAGTCGGTGGGCGGAACCGTTGTCAGGTAGGAAGTAAGCACAACTACCCTACCGACCACCCAAAATCTCCACCCAAAGAAATGGCAGAGAGCCTGGGCACGCTCGGGTACCCCTTTCTCAGGTGTGCACTCGGCGGAGTTACTGCCGCTGGTTGCGCACTGGTTATGTCAACCCATGATGCCGGTTCTTTTCTACAACCAAACTGCGGGGAAGCGGAGACAAAAAGAAAGCTGCGTGTTTACCATATACTTAAACTTGTATGTCATTTGCATCATCTATCTCGGACAGTTCGGCCTTCACATCAACACCCCTCCACACGCTGACATCCGCACACGGCACCTGGCATGTTTCAGGAGCCCTCTTAAGTCACCCAATGAGCAGTCGCAGCCTTTCCCCAACAGCAGCCTTTGTTGTACTCGAAGGGTTTTTGGTGTGGTTTTTTTTTGTGTGGCCCGGGGGGTCGGGGAGCAACAAGCAATTGCGCAAGCTGTCCGTCCCTGTTCTTTCGTTTCCCAAGAAAACTGAACCAGCAGCCGACAAAAATGTCCTTTCGGCCGTTCACGTTTCGGAAGTTTACATTTACACCCATATTGTTCGCCGCCGGGGAAGCATGCATGCGCATGGTTGCTCTGCTCGTGCTGCTGCTGTTGCTGTCGTTGAGCAGAGAGAGGACATGTGTCTCCGACGACAACGGAAAGCAGCCACACCTTGTCAAAACAGCAGCAGAGGTGCCACTGCTGGTCATAGAATAAACGGGATTTCGCTCTGATGTTGGTGGTGACTGACTGTCAATCCACTTACCCATGAGTCGCTGCTGTTGCTGCTGCTGTTGCTGGTGTGATGCTGCGGTGATGATGCTGCGAGAAAGCAAAGACTGCGTCTTGACCCGCTGCTGCTGCTGGCGTGGGCGTTGGTCTCAGAGGAGGTGTCGTAGCTGGAGGTGAGACCTTGCTGGACTGGGCGCATAACCTTGGGGGAAGTAGCTAGCCTTTGGTTTGGCTGTGTGCTGAAATGTGTGTGTGCGGCGGGTACCTCTCTCTGCTGCTCTTGTTTGAGTGTCCCTGTTTTTCAGATCTGTTTTTTCAGATCTGTTTCTTTTTTTTTCTGCGTGGTCCCCTGTTGAAAATTGGCGTCAGGGGGGCTGGTGCGTTTCCCCTTTCTAAGATCAAGTCGTTTTGCGGCACCTGGTTCCAGAACGTTTTTGCGGGGGGTACAAAAAATGAGAAAAGTTTAAATTTGAAGGAAGTTAAAGGTGAAGGGGACGGTTGGTTGGCAGGTTTGATGATCCGGACAGATATATATATATATGCATGCATATCGGCGGGAGAGAGAATTTTACGGACAGAAATAAAGGACACAGCACACAGATCACAGAATAGAGGGTATCTACAGAAACACACACAACACCCCGCCTCTGAGATTGAAAGCGACGGTTCAACTAACTGTTGTTGTATGTGGGATCATCCGAGATGACGCCAGCACATTTTTCACCAGAGACAGAGAAGGTGCTCCTGTGAAGTAGGCAGGTAGGTGTGGTACGCATTTTCAGTTTAGTTTTCGGAGAGAAATAAATGTCCCATCATGTCCCTTTTAAGTCAAATAAAGAAAGCCCGCGCACCCGCCCGCCCTTCCGTTTCCACCGTCTTTCTAATCCCAAGTAAATTGGACGGGTGGACACTGAGCAAACTGGTTTGTGTGCGTGATATCAGAACATTGCCAAGAAATTAATGGTGAACATCGGCGGCAGCTCATTATTTTTAATTGATTGACATCTTTTTTTCAGTCAGACCTTTCGGCAATCACGACGCGGTTCTTCAGAAGTATCTTGGAACGGCGGGCGTCTGGAACAGGTATGTATATATATACCGTACTACCGTAAGAGAGTGGCGGAGAGATGGCACCCCACCTGGACCGACTTCCAAAGCTCGATTGCTCCACGACCGACGGGGGTGCGGGAAGAGCCTGATACGTCTGTCTATTAAAAAGCCCTCGACGATACGCTTCCAAAACCACACCGTCAACACCATCTTGGTGTTGGCACAAGCTTGGTTATTGAGCAATCAAGCTTCAAGAAGAAAAGGGGGTGCGATCTCTCCGCATGCATGCATTGGCTACACTGCTGCTGTAGCTAGATGCGCAAAAACGTCTATATCACGAACAAATAAACAAACACCGATCGATGGAGGTGCCATGGGATATGAGAACAACAAACGCAAATAAATGCATGCAACATAAACCTGAACGGATTTGCTTGCTATTGTTATCGGTTACCGGTATTTTTTTTTGTGTTCTACACGGCGGCTCGCAACCAACCGTCCTCCGCACCACCACCAGTTGAGGATTTACTGTTCACAGAGAAAAGATTGATTGTTACATGTGTTTGTTTGCGTCTGTCTCTTCATCTCCTGCCGAAGAGCTTCGCCCGTTCTTCGCGTTTCTTTTTCCGAAACCGCCGGGAACAAGTAAATAATCTAATCTATCTAGCCACGACGCCGACCTGCCGGCACACAGCTCCCGCCGTACGCAACTAACTGCTCCTGCTCCTGCTCCTGCTGCCGGTGGCGGTGTGACCATGTCGCCCGTCCTACCGTATGGACTACGGGTTTTCCCAGGATCTGACTACGGCGCCGCCCGCGTTGGTCTGGATGGTTCCTTTCCTTCGAACAACGACAACACCAGCATAGATGTGCGTAGGACCACCCTTCGACTTTGAAAATAAAATTCCTTGGGGCATGGTATTTTGTGCGTTTTCTTCATAATCAATCAAGAATTCTGGGTTAGAAGCCAGAATAGATAGAGCCTTTGGCACGGATTGAGTTTGTTCAGTAAACGATTTTTGTTATGAAATGAAAAATTACTTCTGCTGCTGGAACGAAAGGGCTCGAAAGGAAGCACATAACGTCACGTCACCAGGAGTTCCCACGGAACCGATGGCAGCAAAGCTTCTATCATCGGGTCTGTCAACAATGCGAGGAAGCACGGGGTTCCGTCTCGAAAAGAAGCGGCACAACGACAAAAGATCGGCAACAACAAGCCCCCCCCACACCCCCCACACCCCCGACAAGATAATCTGAGGCAGGTCGAGTCAGGGCAGTTCTGGCCATGTGTGGTGATTTCGTACGGTACAGCCCATCTTGCTGCGCTCCCGTTCGGCTCTAGTTCTATCTAACGCTCTCCATGTAAACTAACAGAGGCAAAAAAAACAAAACGCCGTCGGATCAAAGCGCACCGTACTTGGGTGGTGGTAAGCACGGCTAGCAGAACAAATCAAAAATCGTCGAACTTGCTGTCGATCATCCCTCTCCTCTGCATGTCCCAGAGCAGTCCCAGCTGCTTCCACACAGGGGTCAGGGTGCTGCCACACGACGAACACACCACCAGGCGAAACACGAGACCAAAGCAAGACAACAGGATACGAGAGGAGCGGAACCAGCATACGCAAGAGACGAAACAGTCAAAATAAGGTACTTTGTGCCAAGAATCCGAAACACGTGCTGTTAGTTGTGCAATCTAACGCTCCAGAACTAAGCGAAGGCAGCTAGTGTTAGACAGCGACGCGCGCACCGTGACATCCAGCTGCCTCAAGCATCATAACGCTTGCCATCCCTCACTACCATGAAGAAAGCGGCAGCGACACGACAACCGCAAAAAAAAAGGAGACTCACCTGGCGGCACTCATGCCACTGGCTGCCACCGCTGGCAGACCCAGTCCCGGCAGCGTCGAATCTCCGCAGTGAAGCAAGCCTTTCAGAGGCGTTACGCACCCGGGGAACTCAGCTTCGCCCGCTCTCCACCCAGGCCCGTAGGAGCCTTGCGTTTTCGTTGCGGTTGAGTAGTGAAATGCAAAGAAAGATCAACGATCCTTGATGGCTCGGAAGTCAAGCGGCAACCCAGACTAATTCGAGCGAGCGAAGGTTGTGCAACTTCATGTCCGCGTTAGGCGGTCGTCAGGCATGCCCATCGTAATTGTTATGGCAAGAAATTTTGTGTGAGGGGAGGGGCCAAGAAGAGAGTGGACCAAGCGGGGCCTCATCATACAGTGTCCATGCCAGCAGGTGGCATTCGGAAGAAGAGTCGCCTATCCGCCAGCGGTATCCTCGCTGCCGAAGGTTGTCGAAGAGGTAGGTTCTCCTTATGCGTGCCTACGGATGAATTGCCTTCCGTACTCCTGTCTCTTCACAGCCTCCTTCAAAACGGGCGAAGCATTTGAGATACAGCGGGCCGTGAATAAGGCCGGTCGCCCGATATAAGGCTGGTGAAATCGCTTGGCGCAGATGGAATATTCAAGTTGTCTCATACTCTGTGAGTAGTGCCGGGTGCCCGGGAAATATAAGTCCGGTACAATCCTGCGGCACTCGGCGGTCTACATCGCCCCCCCCACTAAATAGCAGTACCTTTGAATCGTCTGTTGAAGAACTCGTGGGTGAGGGGCGTGGCCACAAGCTCTACTTCTGTCCGTCGCCGCACGTCCGGGATAATCTTCTCCAGAGCCTTCCACATGCACTCCGCCCTCTCCTTTTTCAGCGCCTGAATCACACAACGGTTTCAGGATGGTGGTCATACAACAGCATGTGCCCAACGAAGCCAAAAGAACCCACATCAAACCCGCTACTTGCCGTAGCATGATGATTTCGGTTTTCAACCGCAGCTTCCATCCGCACCGTCCCCCCCTCCGCAAGAGTGTGAGGCATCTCCACCGAAACGCTAGTCCGCGCCGTGTGAACGAAGATTCTTGCACCCTACCTACCACACCCTTGCCATTCTCCGAACGGTTAGCGCACCTCATACTCCGGGGAGCCGCGCTTCATCCCTTCCCACAGCTTGTACGGCTCGTTTCCGGCCGTGTAGATGTGCACCAGGTGCTTGCCATCGGGCGCGAGTGACTTGTCGAGCACCGTGGGGATGCTGACGATGAACATGTTCTGCGGGGCGTCGATGGGCACGGTCCACGACTCTACCACCTATTTCGAATTGCAGAGAGCGTTTAGGCGCAATCGATTACTCGGAGACGTGGACGCGCGGAGTTCCCCGTTCGTTGAGCGTGCGTCACAACAACACCGACCTTTTTTTGCCGCGTCAGGCTCCATCATCGAAACACATCCGACACCATCGATCGACAGCGACCGACCGGCGTGGTCAGGTTCGCCAATGCCGTCACATGTCGCCATCACCTTATGGACGTCTTTGACACACGACCGTGTGAGGGGGGGTGCCGTCAAGTTCTTCTTCATCCACCGAATCCAAACCCCTCCTCGTCCAGGCCGAATTCAACCTGACAGCAGTGCCACCCTCATCCTTCCCTCTGTCGAAACACTTATGTATGTAATCACTTCTCTTAATCAAATCCAATCCCACCGAGCAGTATACGTCTCACTTCAATCTAATCTTTTAAAATCAAAACTCACAGAGTAGTGTATGTCTCAATCATCAAACCTCACCAAGTAACGTATGTCTCACGGGTAGTCCATGTCTCACCACTCAATCACATATATTTTCCCAAATCTCACCCGTTACTTCCATCAACACATCTTCACCAAATCTCACCGAGTAGTGTATGTCAAGATCGTCCAGCCCCTCGGCGTCGATGCCAAGGTGGAGGTGCATGAAGCTGCCGGTGTCAGGTGTGTCCATGCTGTCCTCGATGTACTTGGGGTCCACCGCGCCCTCTGGGATCAGTCTTTCGGTGCAGATTAGTCCCAAAGACGGGGGCAGGGAGGCGGCGAGGGAGAAGTTGGAGAAAGAGGGCAGGGTCGATATGTAGGAGGGGGAGGCCGAGGAGGTCGGAACACACTTCAAGCTGTGGGGGAATGCAGCAAGAAAGAAAGGTATCATGCCTGGTTGTGACATTTGCCTCGAGGCATCGAGGCGCTATGCATGGTCGTCTTTGATGGGCACTCCCTCGGCAGTAGCAGCAGCAAGCTTCTACAACGAGGCGATATCAACTACCACATTTTATTTCCCGCAGACGTCACCAAGAAAAACCTCTTGCTTCTTTGTTGGACACGACCGTCCATCTGACTTCCATCTACTTACGTCAAGTACCTCCGGACTCTTGTGCGATCTATTTAATCGCAGAACGTCTAACCCCAAACAAAACCACAAAGAAGAACTAGACATGACCCCCACTCCTTCCAAACCTTACCCAATAGTATCCCATATGGAGGCGTTAGACACCACGGCCTTCCGCGCTCGGACAACGGCACCAGATCTTAGCTTAACGCCGACGGCCTTGCCCCCCTCCACCACGATCTCCTGGACGTGGGACTTGAGCTCGACCCTTCCGCCTAGCTTCTCGATGCCCCTCACCTGCGGACGTTGTGCGCTAAATCATTAATGTTGCACGCTGATTGGGTGATCGCCGTTGCCCAACGTGTGGAACAAACCAAAACGGAGGGGCATGAGATATAGATCGGGCTGGGCCATTCGATACGATACCACCAAAAACGGAAAACGGCAAAATCTCTTGACGTCTCTTGTTGCTCACCACGAGCGCACGTGCACTCTTCAAGGCATCTCTACACGGCACCATGCTGGTGTCCGCCGGGTACAGTCCGGCGCCCTCTACAGTGCGGGTTACATAGTTCGGGTGCCCAACATAGTGTTGATTAATCAACGTGATTTACGCGGAGCCGGTCGCCCCGGTGGTCTAGTTGGTATCCTCGAAACCTTCTAGAGGTCAGGTCGGGTTCGAATCCTGGCGTAAGCGAGCTTTTCTTGCAAAGTGAACTTTTCTCTCGCTTTCGCTCCTGGTCTAGTGGATAGCGCTAGTTCGTGTATACACAGCGGGAAGAGAGTGCTGAACTATTCTCGCATTAAAAGTCGAAGGCAAAGTACCGCAGGAGGGGAGGGTAGAGAGAGGCTCTTCTGTGTGACCACGGGTTGAAGTAAACGGCACTAGTGCTGTGAGCGCTGATTTGAAGTGAAGGCAAAAAAAAAAAAATGCATTGAACAGTGTGGGTACCGTCTGTAGCACGGCTGAAAGCGCGCTTGGCACCTACCCGCGCCATAGTGAGCATCTGGCGGCTATAGTGTATACGGATATATGAGAAAGCATCATGCCTCACCATGGCCGCAATAACCGCCCCTCCGCCCCCTCGCGGGTAGTCGATAACGCATCCCGGCCGGTGCAAGTCTCCTATCGTATAGATCACGGCCGCCGCCATCGTGCCATCTGCCGGCAGACCGCTACGTTAACGCCACGACGAAACGCAAGCAACATTGGTCAAGGGAGCAACGTCCAGGAGGCCATCGGCGCACTCAAAAATGTGTCCACCCACTGCGAACACGTCGAGGCGGTGGAAAAGTTCGACGAAGCAGCACAGGGTACGACAAGAAATTCACAGCTGTGTGTTGTCCTGTCATCCGTCACCTATCGCCCCAAGCCAACAAACACCAATGAGAGAACAACAAAGTACAATTTACGTGTTGGGGCCCTCATCGCTCTCGCCCTCGTTGATACCGGCAACCCCTCCAAGATGCGCGGTACATTTACGGCCTGCACTTGAGAACCTCTTTTTTTTGGCCGAGGATCGTGTTTTGCTTTGTCTGTATTGGGTGCTGTATCCCCCCGGCGACTATATAGGTTTTAGTGTAGGATTATTGACTGAGTACCTGTTCTCTACGGTCAAGCTCTTACATGTTGGAATTTTTGTGGCTCAAGTTCTCAACTACTGAGCTCTTAAGTGCGGGACGATTCTGTAGAACAAGACGATAAACTATGCATTGAATGCCGTTTTATTCTGCCGTTTTATTCTCCCGTGGGTCCGTCACCTGAGGGCAAAGGAGAGGTAGTCCAGCCACTTAAAGAGGAAGCTGTCCCTCTCCACAGTCCCCTCCAAGACGTCCGTGAACGCGCCCTGAAGAGCCTGCTTTGCCAGCGAGAAACCAAACAAAAACCAAGAACCCCGTCGGGGTTGAGAGAGAGCCAGAACAATCGGATTAACTCCGTCAGCATCAGCGTTTGTGTTGTCGACTACCGAAATGAAGAAAGAGCACGGAAGGGTTCTCGGGAACGTTCTTAAAGCTGTACGTGACACGCGGTAGGACTTCGCGTCACCGTCGAGGATAGCGAGCACAAGCGCCGACTTCGACGAACAACGCACAGACGAAACCACCAGCGCAAGGGGAAAACGGGAACGAAATTTGACTGTCGTCAACCACCCGAGGTCAAAACCCACCCCATAGCAAAACCGGGCCAACGAAGAAGCCATGCAACTCAAGTCAGACAAACACGACACGTAAAAACGGAGGGACACCCATGCCTGACTTTGCCAAGAATTCCACAGCAACGTAACACTACCAATACAACAAAAAAAATGCTGCAGAACGACTCGCCTGTACACCCGGCCCAGCATGTCTAAGCGCATCGACAATGTAGGGCAGCAGGGTTATCGGCGCCCAGTAGTCCCCCCGCAGCGCAAGCGGCGGAATCGCGGCGGCCGCCCGCAACAACGGCCTCATCTTCTCCGTCAATTCCCTCCTGTTGCCAAAAAATAAGGTAGAGCAGTGGGCGAAAACAGAAAGAGCACCATTTTCAGCTTTAGCAAGGGTTGGGGGTACATCTTTCGCTCGGAAAGTGCTCGAAAGGGGCGTAGTTGCGTTCCTCGAGATGAAAGCGGGAGGAAAGTTTGGAACGAGTCTTGGAGGGTGGAATTTCACGTATCCTCGAGTATCGGTGATGATCAGGACACAAATATCGATATTTCTGTTTTTCGCACACAACGAACGAGGGCTACCGGCAGCAAACCGCACAAAATTCTTCGCGCGTCGGCGACGGATGCAAAAAAGAAATTGGAGCTCTAGGAAAATGAAGAGACAGAAAGCCAAAACGCACCACTGCCTGACGTCGTCCTCTCCCCCTAGCCTCCTAAGCTCCTCCACGAACTTGTCCGGACCGGTCGCGAAACGGAAGTATCCCTCGGGGACGTGCATCCCCCAGCCGTCGTAGCTGATCCAATCCACCTGGTTGGTTTCGGTCCCGTGCCGCCAGCACACAGTATGGAAAGTGGTTCGAAATGACAACGCACCGAAATGACGTTGTGAGTCGTGAGGGCCTCGAGGTGCGAGTGGTCGTGGCAAGGAGAGAAAGAGGTCCGGTGTCAACGGTACCGCCATGAACGTCAGCCCGCGTCCCCGTACGAGTGCCGTTATCAGGGTTAAAAAATACCTGGAAGTACTACTGTACCACCCACCACCGCAACACCTCCCCGTGATTCATCTTATTTCCTCACCACACTTCCCCCACCAGTAGTGACGCCGACAACAACAACAACAACAACAACAACAACAACAACAACAACCACAGCAGTAGCAACGACAACAACCACAGCAGCAGCAACGACAACAACAAAGCACACCCAACACCACCACCACCAACACCAACAACAACAACAACAGCAACAACAACACTGACAACAACAACAATAACATCAGTCGGTACTCCTTGCTCAGCTCACCTCCTCTTCCAAAACGTCCAAGATCTGTCGCAAAGGGTTCGTCCCAGGCTCCGACATCCCCGCCCACAGCGATGGTCCAGCGTCGAACCTGATCGCACATCGAAACAGGAGAAAACAGCCTCAGCAATCTTTGGACCGCGCGCACGTACATCCGTAGCCCAACGGCATACACCCACGGGTTGGGGAGGTGCTAGAATACCATATGCTCCATAACTCTGTCGACGTAAGGGACGTAATGTACATCCACCATTGCAACCGAGCACAGAACCATAGCCCTCGTTCGGGTCTTGCAACGTCCAAATCTCTACCCGTCAAGGCTGCGAAATAGAGCCTGGACCGCTGCAAGGCACAGCCGCAGCTCGAGAGGGATGGGTCTTGAAGACACAGGCGCATATCTCAAGCTCGCTCGGCGGACTGGCAGAGATGTGTTATTCTTACCGGTCTCTTGTAAAGCCCAGGAGGCGTTTGTCCTACGCAAGCCAGTGCGAGGCGACGGCAAGTTGCCATCTCTGGAAATGTTTTGGCTATCGCCGATGCTTTTAATGCTACAGTACTTGTACTATAATACCATAGTTTTTTTCCTTATCGAGACGACCTGTAGCCTTCGATGTGGAGGGCGTGAGCAAACCCCTCTGAAAACGTTTCGACTGTCGCCGATGCTTTCCAACTACTTGTACCACCAATCTGTTTTCGTTTGATCGAGACGACCTATAGCCTTCGATGTCGAAGGCGTGAGCAACCCCCCCGGGAAGGTAGTGCGACTCCAGGACAGTCACGGAGTCCCCGTGGCGAGAGAGCATTGCCGCTGCCGACAGCCCCCCGACACCCGAGCCAATTACGACAACGTCGGTTTCATGCGAAACGGCACCAGCGGAGACTGGACCTGGACGGGATCGTGTTTCGCTGCCGCTGCGGGGGTGGAAGACCATGTTTTTGACGAGAAAGACAGGCGTGAAAAGGGAGGGTGGTAGGTGCAAGAATAGTTAGATGTCCATGGCGATCTAAAATGGGTATCAGAGAGACAGACATAAATACGAAGTACTGTTAAGTATCTTTAGTGCTGAGATAGCAATAGCAATACTCCTGAATTTCAGAGTTAGAAAACGAGTCTTCACCGCGAATAAGGAGACTGCCACCCTCCCGGTCCGACGCGTACCAGTGTGGCAACCGCCAACGAACACGGCTGAGGAAAAACGTCATCGAACGCGAGTTCGACGGCGGTTGGTAGGCGATCATGATATTGTCTGCAAGTCGGAGAAGTATACCACACGTCACACAAAAAATAAGAGGGAATAGAAGAGGCTTCCGAGAACACTACAAGACGCCTCTGTTTAGGGGTTTGGGCGATTCGCGTGGAAACCCCGGGGTACGCAGTTTTCATTTTCCTTGCCTTGGTGGGGCGTCCGAACGTGGTGGATGCCGCCGATTGGAAGACAAGAAAGAAGGTCGTGATGCTGGACTAGCTGCTGTCGGCACGAAGGCCGAGCACGGGGTGAACTGGCGCGGCAACAAAAAATCAAGGCGGGGCGTCAGAGTCAGCAACAACGACAGCGAAGAGTTTCTGCTGGACTTCCGAGACAAACTTATCTCCGCCTCCGCGGCAACAAGTTCGAAAGGAGCTTCAGCGTGCGTGCTTGAGCACAGCAGGACTCCTCCTTCCCCTGCACCGTGATCTCAACCTGGTAGCCTTGCTGTAGCCATACCAGTGTATGTTCTCCGGATAGCGCTCAGCGATCACACCGGGGGCACAGAGCACCCTACATACACCCTCCAGCTCTGCTCCCGGGTGCGGAGTGAATTACCAAATACAGAAATACAGTACGCCACGACCGTGGTGTAGTGGTGGTTCTAGTCAGTCGTGATTGCTTTTCGACAAGACTCGGTGATAACCCTCGAAAACCATGTGGCGGCTACAGTACTACGTAGATAGATTCAAACCCGGCGAGGTCTGCTTCTTCCGTACCATTTGTGTCTGAACCGCATACAAGTAGAGATCGCTTACTCGTGATCTTATTCCCGCCCTGTCTAGCAGAACAGCTAAACAGCGTGTAGACAAGATGCCAAACAGTTTGCCAACGAGGGCGCCTTTCTTCCCATTGCAAGCCGTCTCTGGTTTGCAGTTCCCATCTCTTTAGCAAAGCAGTCTTGCTTCTCTGTCGGAAGCACTACCATCCGAGGTCACAAAGGTCCATGATTGTCAAAGATCTGCGATTCTTAATGACCCCTTGGGTCCATTCTATAGCAGTTGTTAGACTTGTACGAACGTATGATGCAGCAAGTCGCACTGGAGCTTGTTAGATTGTTGGGCCACTGTACCACTTCGTCCAACCCCGCTCTGTAGTTGTGCCGCACTTTTGGCGCCCCTTCCAGCTTCCAGCAGACCGCAACAGGTGTGTTGCAGCCTGACTTGTCTATCGGAAGTACGGCTTCGCCCGGAAGACCGGCACAGCAACCGCAGCCCAGGTGTTGCAGCGGTTTGTGATGCAGAGTTGCAGCGAATGCATGGACAGCAGTACAAGTGCTCTCCGAAGTCCGTTGGTTAAATAGCGAGTTTTGCTTTCTGTTGGTGCCGCCGATGCAAGTAGGAAATGTCATGTTTGTGCACACGTCTTGAGGGACTCAAAAACGCCATCGACCGACTGCCGTACACGACCCAGCCATCAGGCAAGGTGCCCTGCTGCTCACCTCCATAGAAACAGTCGCCAGCAGGACGCACAGACCCATGGCCGAGCTTACGGCTCTCCTTGGAGCGGCAGTTGTTGTGTACATGCTGTGCTGCCGGCCGACATGTCGAAAATATCTCATCTCGACGGAAACTGTCAGCACCGATGACCCGTTCTCACTACCCGACGACGCGAAGGGTGTGGCCTATCTCACTCAATCGCACGACGTCCTTCTACATGCAGACACGCGGTAAACATGCAGACACCAACAGGACACACGGGACACATATGACATCACACGGCCCTTCGAAAAGCATGACCAAGGAGGCCCCGTAACGGAGTCACGCAGCCACGGCACCCCCTTCGTTCTTTGAATTTGTGGTGCATGCAAATTGCGTGTGTCAAGTGTGGTTTCACATTTTTTTTTTCTTCTTACTATGACACAACGAAACCATCTCTATGTACAGCTACATATCTATGCACAAACCCACCACGACGTCTGCCCCCTACCCCTCGCGTGCTGCACGGAACACACGGCAGGTTGTCTACAAATCTATCTATGAAAAGAAAAAAACATGCGAAACTTTTATTCTAGACCATCGATGGAGGATTTCGTGTCTTCGCCCTTTTGCCCCCCCCCCCCCCGGTTCGTCCAAACTCCTCACCCTAGTCTGCCTGTTGCTGCTCGAGGGATTAAATGGCAGTTTCTGGAGCCCCTTAGAATTCTCAACGACACCGCTGCTGAGAGCAGAGTGCGGGGTCCGGCCCATTTTCTGCTACGGCGTCGCCGAACTCCCCCCCCCCCCTCCGCACCGCCGCCCCCGTCAAATCTACCTAGCTCTACTCTTTCTACCTAGACAAAAGGCTCCACGGCTCAGCATTCCTCGGACGCCACCGTGGGTGGATGGATGCCCCGGTGAACTCGGAAACGCAATTCGACCTAAGGAGCGCCGCGAGAGGACGTGCCTACACTGCCACCCCCGCCTCACATTATCTAGAAGCAGGTACACATTTGGAATCCGTCTGGGCCTAGGACAACGAGAGGTGACTGACGATGGGCGACCGATATTTGTACGACACCTTGACGGCAGCGTCGATCTTGACGTTCGCGACCAGCCGGAAGAACGATTGCAGACATATGGCGCCAAACTTGGTGGCAGGGTTATCTTTCCCGTCGAAGGCCTCTCTTGGTACCTCGCAGCACACGTCTCTGTTGCCATCACTGTTGCTTGGGTGCGCGGCCAAGTCCTCGAGGAACCGCATCGACCCATTTCCCTCCACCAAGACCTCCGGGCAATAGTAAAGGAATGTTGACATTTCCGACATGAATTCCTGATCGACACATGGGGACAGACCGAAAACAAATGCACGAACAGCATTATTAGGGTCGCGAGCGCTCGGTAGGCGGGTGGCAGGTACCCTGGCCTGTCGTTCTTACCGAAGCGTTTGCCAAAGTAGTACTCCCTGACAAGACAACAGGGCGAGCCGAGGGCGAGATGTCATTGCGGCGCTTGCACTTTGAGCGTAGCTGCTGGCTCCAGCCTTTTCGCACTCTGTCATGATGGGCTTGATCATTTGCTTGACGTTGTGGAGTCTACGTACGGCCATCCAGTCGCCTTTTGTTGTTGGCTGGACGGGGAAAAGTATCGACCCAGAAATCAGTTTTTCTTCCGATGATTTGGGACTTTTTTCCATGATGTCGTCCTCGGGCGAGCGGTTTGGAGCACATACACCCACCTGGCGCCACCCTGGGTCTACGTGGGCTGCTGAAACAAGACCACACAGTACTTACACATCCTATAAGGCGATGTATACTAGTTTTTCGTGATTGTTTCGCAGTCGTGCTTGTTACGAGGGTCACACGACACGCTGACTTGGAGGCAGATCTGGTTGAATAGACGGACGGATGGATTTGGAGGACGCATCAGTAAATGACGTCGGGGGCCGTGCAGCTTGAACCAAACGGTGGGCACACACGCTGGTGCCGTTGGCTTTATGTAGCATCCACGACATTAATTAAAGGTCCGTCCCGCGTGAACGGAGATATCGGCAAACATGAAATGGTAGACCTGGACCCTCTTCGCAGTCTATTACCGAGAGGATCTTCGCCAGAGACCCCGCAGTCCAAATACATCGAAAGGAAAAAAAAAAATGAAAACGATAGCGAGACAGACAAGAGAGAGGTTTGGGGCCTGATATCAATTGACGTGACTGGTCCGGCTACCGTACGTATGAACAACCTTTCTCTCTCCCAGCTGGTACAGGCACCCTGCAAGTGGTACCTGGGGTTCAAGCCCTATGCTTTGGGATATCTACCTACAACAGCGAGCTAATCGAGGCGTGGAGTGTGGCTCTTTTGTTTGGTTGCAAGGCGTTCTGATTGGAACACCGGTTTTGGACAGCACTAATGGCTATTTCTTACGGTTCTTTTTTGGAGCTGTCTTTTCCTTTTCCTTCTCAAAAAGACAAATGGCCACAGAACCCCTTCTCACGGTGTCTTTTTTCAGGGGAAAAAGGCCAACAAAAAAGATAACCCGTATTGGAAAGCCCATCCTGTCTTTTTCTGGGGCAGTTTTGGATAAGTCGGGGCTGTCTTTTTCTGTAATATTTTTTTTGGTCAAAACCACATGACGCTACCTACAAGCTTAATCTCTCGACGGTTGATCCCCGCATACTCTAACGGTGTTCACACGAGCTGTGTCATGTGACTGGTGCAGAGTCAGTAGCATCAGCGGTAGCGTTGTTTTTCATTCGGCTGGACCAAGTGGACAACCCGATGTGTGCGGCGCAAACAAGCGGCAAACGAGCCGAGAGAGTCTGGACGTAGCAGCGGGGCGGGGTCTTTGTTGGTGTGCTGTCAACTTTTGCGAACCCAACTTTTGGGCGCCCTATAGCCTCCTGATCTGTGTCAACCACCACACAAGACGGACCATACGCGCAGCTTATGGCGGATACCTTTGTCATCGCTGTTGCTGGAGTGGGTGGCGAGGGAGCATCGATGAACCAAAGTTGCCACACGGGCGCAAGAGCAAAAACAATTAATTGCGAGGCGGGTCATTTTTCCCCCTTGTTCACGACTCTTGCGCTCACATTTTTTGAGCGCCCTTCAGCCTCCTGGCCTGTATCAACCACCACACAAGGCGGACCATACACACAGCTCATGGCGGATACCTTTGTCATCGCTGGTGCTGGAGTGGGTGGCGGGAGAGCATCGATAAACCAAAGTTGCGACACAGGCCAACGAGCAAAAAAAAACTGGTTGCTGGCGCGGTGGGTATTTTTCCGGCGTGCTGTTGACCCTCGCCACGTCCGTTTCCGTGCCTCCAATCGTGCTGTGGTTTTCTAACAGCCACCACCCAAGACGGACCATATACACAGCTCATGGCGGATGCCTTTGTCATCGCTGTTGCTTCGCTGTATGCGGAGATATCACCGAAACACCATAGCGGTGGAATGGGTATGTATGTGTGACGAACGGCCGTTGCAGGATCTCTTTTTTTCGGTGGATGACTCGGAATAGAAAAAAGGATGGACCAGCACCCGCAAGAAGGGGGTCATCTTTTTTGTAGATCATTTTTTGGGTCGTCTCTTTTGGGGGCAAACAGATCTAATAAAAAAGACACCGTAACAAATGGCCTAAAACAAAAATCCGGCGTGACACTACTATTCATGCACAAGGAAGGCAAGGCCGCTTTCGAGCCCTGTTGATGCCGGCCACACAAAAAAAGAGGGCAGCCACATTCATTTCCATTAATAAAGAAGCACGTGACGGCTAGCAAGCCCATCGACGACACGTTTTTGTCGCATTTGGAGGCATGGCTAACGTGCTTGCTTGTGTTTTTTCTTCTATTATTGTTCTTTCAGTACAGTAGCCCCGGGGGACATATGAGTACCCCGCGGGTTGTATGGTCCACCGCAAACGATCATCTGAGGTGTGGTTGCTGGGCCGGTTTTTCTTCTGTAGAGCAATTTTGTCTGAAATATTCAGAGAATAAATTCTTCCGACATTGAAGTACAGATGTAGTTACAGTGATCGCGTTTACGCTTGTTACTGATATCTCCGTTTTTGAACGAATCAACGTTTGTCTGCTTCCTTTTGTAACCCGTGTGCACACCATCATTGGAAGTAGTCAAGCTTGTCCCCGCTGCGTAGCGGCCTTGGATTCTTTGACGAATATCATACTGAGAACAACAAACGTAAAAACACCTTGCTTGGCGAATACAAATAGAGCTGGAACCGTACCCCAACCCGACGAAGCAAAGGTAATACATAAGATAGCTCGAAGGGGACGCGTATTTCGAGCTATTTTTGTGCAAGACCAAACGCATCGAGTCCAAACTCCTGGTTATCTGGAAAAAATATCCTACTCCACATGAAACCGTTGACAAACAGATAAAGCTAGATGATCACCGGAAAACCGGCAAACGAAGGAAAAGGTGAACATACAGATCAGCAACCTCAACCTTGAACGGTCGTGCAACGAAATTCCTTGCTGGGCGAGGTACAAACCAGCCTCTCTCGTAGATACCAACCGGACCGTGGTTCCTCACTCATGAGTCGCTCCGGCTCACTCATGAGTCGTTCCTCACTCATGAGAGACTTCGGTACTATCTTGCAGGTCTCTGACGAAGCTTGTAGAGTAGCACCAATTCATCCAGGCTCCAAACACTATCGAAACCAGGCACATACATACACGCGGGTTACCCGAGCACGATTGATGGTACGTGGGGACAAAACGAGCATCCGGAACACTATTGCTCAATCGTTGGAACATCCGACAGGCCGTTGGCTGTCAACGGCGTAGAAGCGTGCACACATTCCAAGGGGCAGGTCACCTCGTCGTCCTTCGAAAAGACTAATTGCGACTTCGAGACAAATGAAGAAACCGAAAATGACAGCAAAAAGAGCCGCCAAGGTAGAGCCCGTACGTCCTGTGGCAAACACCTGGCAAACGCTAACAACCATTCGCGAAATCCGCGAAAAGTCCGAAGAACGTCAGGGTTACGGATACCAACGCCAAGGTGACCAACATCAGCACCACCGTGACCAGCGCCAGCACCCCCGTGACTAGCACCAGCCCGTGACCAGCACCATCACTAGCAGGACCCGGCATACCTGGCCCAACAGGGGTTCAAAACAGACGTGAGGGAGCGAACAGCCCCGAAGATGACAGTTGGGGGAGACGCACAGAGAGCACACTTGGTGATCTCTACACGAGGCTCCTCGCACCAGTTTGCGCAAACTTAGAGTTGACTTCGGGCGGAGTCTTAAGACAACACGTTAACCTTTAGGTCGGCAACAAACCAAAACGAAATTCACCTTGACGTTAACGATAAAACTAACCTCGAGATCGACAACGAAGCCAACACGCACTTTAACTCACTTGGACAACTGATGATGTAATTACGTAGTGGGGCGTTGTTGAGAAACTGTTTTGAGAGTTCCATGACTTCGAACAACATCGGCTTAGAAGAAAACCTTCCAAAAATCAAGGACATCCACAAACCCGATCACGCTAGTTTTACACCCTCTTAGAAAGCAACAAAGGAGAGCAGAGCAACGAAGGGTGAAGAAGCCAACTTGCCAGGATTCCCTCACCCTAACCGCCAACCATCACCAGGGTTGCCGCGTGCGTGTCATCTCGTACACAGCTGATCTCTGCGCGTGCCTGCGAACGCGCACCCGCGTCAGCGGAGCTCCTGCGAAAAAGACCCACCTTCGTAGTCTGCGGGAGCGCGGCTGTACGCCGGGCGAACATAGATCCTGCGATCCCTTTCTTTCGGCGCCGCCTCTCTCTTTGGTAGCTCCGCTCTTTCAGAGGCGGTTAACCTAAGATGGGAATGAACGTGCAGCCAAATTAGCATCCCTTCTAGGGGGGAAAGACGATGTTTTGTGTTCGCATGCAGTATCGTTTAAATTCAGGGGGCAAAGGGGGGCTGTTTTCATCGCACCCATGTTGGGTGTACCCAAAAAACGTCCTGTTCATAACAATGTCAGCAAATTTTGCACAAAATGGGGACACTCTCAAGGGGGAGCGGACTGATATCACGTGCAGACAACAAGCATGTTTTTGACGGGGAAAAGACAATGTTGTGTGTTTGCCTGCAGTATCGTTTGAATTCAGGGGGCAAAAAAGCATGGTGGGGTGGTTCCCATCGAAATACTTTGGGGGTGTTTTCATCGCACGTACGTTAATGTACCCAAAAATGGTCCTCCTTTCCATAACAATGTAAGCCAAGTTTGCACAAAGTGGGTACACTTTCACGGGGGCGCGAAGTGATACAACGTGCCGAAAAAAAGCCTCCGTCTTACGGGGGAAAGTTGGTATTTTGTGTTTGCATCCAGTATCGTTTGGTTTCAGGAGGCAAAACAAGCATGATGGGGCGTTTTCATCGCACGTACGAGAATTTATCCAAAAACTGCCCTATTAAGATCAATGTAAGCAAAAATTGCCAAAGTGGGTATACTCTCACGAGAGAGAGAACTGATCAACGTGCAGCCAAATAGCCCCCCCTTTCACTCGGGAAAGACGACAGTTTGTCCTTGCATGTGGTATCGTTTGATTTCAGGAGGCAAAACAAGTATGATGGGGTTTTTTCATCGTCGTGCCTACTGTAAATAATACAAAACCCTGTCCTATTTATAGCAACGTAAGCAAAATAACACAAAAAAGACACACCGGCGTTCACAGGGGAACGGCGATCCTTTGTTCTTGCATGCAGTGCTGTGGCAAAGGTATGGGAAGCTGTAGGGGCGTGGTTTCCGAAGGGCATCTTGCCTGTTTTCGAGGCGGGGGGACACAGGTGGGGGGGGAAATATGCCTGTGCGTATATATATTAGACTTACACCGTAGCTCCAAACCAAAGACCCATGCCCCTGCGCTTCCACCTTTAACCACACACAGAGAAGCATACCAGCTGCGTGGCTTGTTTGTCGCCGCGCAGAAAGCTTTTAACCTCTCCCCCGCGCGCGAAAGGCTCTCCCCGGCTCCCGGCTCTAGGCTCCCGGTTTCACGCTCCTGTTGTGAAAAAGAGGGGCAGGACCGCAAGAACGCAGCATACCCTGAAGAGGATAGGTGGAAGGGTGTGCAGTTATTCGTATGAGCGCAGCCTACTGCTGTGTGGTGGTGTTGTGGCTCGTCACCGGGGCAACGCAAGGGGGCACGCAGCAGTAGTTTTGTTTGGGGGGGGGGTGTTTTTGCTGATTGCACGGAGAAAGCCCCCAGAAGCATTGGCGGGATCTGCGAAGCACACCTTCGCCTTTCCCCACCACAACATTCGAGGGGAGTGGGGCGATACGTGGCCCATTAGCCGCGAAATGAGCGTATCAGACGCACCAAGCACCTGAAGAGAGACGAGCATCAAACTAGTTACCTGCGGAAGCGGGTCTACTGGAGTGGGGCCTAAAACCGCGCAGATCGTCTCACAACCACCACAACCGCCGCCACCACCACCACCACCACCTCCGCGAACAACAACAAACAACGCGTCGCCGAAGTCGCCGAGGTGAGTGTTGGCTTTGTTTATGTTTAGTTTACAGAGCCCGCCAAGCCAAAAAACACCGTGTAAGGGAAAAGATAACGTGTAAGATACACGTGGTATCCTTCCACGTGCTACCGTTGGGTATCAGTCGGGGGACTCACGGGGAGCAAACCGATACAATTTGCAACCAAATAGCCTCCCTTATACGGGTACCAGTGATCCACACTCTAATCGTGCGGTCATGATAGCCCCGTTGTCCGGGAGAAAGATGGTATTTTGTGCTGTCATGCAGAATCGTTTGGGTTCAAGGGGCAAAACAGTACGCTGTTTTCTTTTCTTTCTCGTACGGACGTGGGTGTGTACCCAAAACGTGTCCCATTAATAACAATGTAAGCCAAATATGCACGAAGTGGGTATGCTTTCAAGGGGGGGAAAATTTTATCTACCGTGCGCAGCCCGAAACCCCCCTTTTACGGGGAAAACATGGTATTTCGAGACTGCATAAGCCGGTCGCCCCGGTAGTGGTTACCACGTATCCGCTAGTCGCAGTGGTCGTGAGTCCGAATCCCCCATGGGGTGAAGAAATTACAAATTTGCGGACGAAACCGAACCATAGCTGAAAAGCTCTCGTGAGTACCATACTTTGACGTTAGCACCGTTGATGAGGGAGAGGGACAGCTGGACCCATCTCGCGATAAAACATAAATTCAGCACGCACCGCAGGAGGAAAGTGGGGCATGAAAATGAAACAAAAAGAAACAAAGCCCCGGCGTTTATCCCCTCCTGTGTGGCCCTTTGATGGTTGTAGTTGTACAAAAAAATGCACTGAAAAGTGAAGTACTCTAAATATATACATTGAAAAGTGTAGTACACATCTCACCACGGAAAATGGGAGAACTGTCGCCATTATAAAGGACGAAAACACACGGAAAAATACACGCAATATAATTTGGTTTCAGGGGGCAAACAGCACGTTTGGAGGGTGTTTTCATCGTACCTACGGTGGGTGTCCCCACAAACTGTCCTATTAATAACAATAGAAGCGAAACTCGCACAAAGTGGATACACTCTCACGGGAAAAGAAACAATACAATGTGAAGCCCAAATAAACTCCTACGGGGGAAAGGTGGCATTTTTTACTTGCATACAGTATCGTTCGGCTTTCAGGTGGGCACCACAGCACGTTGGCGTGTGTTTTCATCATACTAACGTGAGAGTACCAAAAAAACTGTCCTGTTTACAACAATGAGGTGATGGGGGGGTTATCACGTTCAAGTGAAGGCTGGATACCAGCTCGAGAACACCCTGGAGGGCCTCTTGCGCCTCGAACGTGCAGGCTCCGAACTACGTATACCCGCGTCTAGTGGCCGTGGAGGAAACTGAAGCTGACGGCACTCCGTCGAGACCATGTGGGATGATACGAGTGCTGAACAACCTTCGTGGCGTGAGGAAGAAGGAAATAACATTGCACTTCTTGCGCCCAGTCGACATGACCCAGGTGCCGTGCGGCTATCGCGGTGAAGGCTATCGGTTTCGGGAGACGCGTAGCTGGGTCAAGAACATATCGCCTGTGCTGCAGGTACGACAAATATGTAGGAAGTGGCAGGTCGGAGACGGTGACATTATAATATTGATGTTCGACCCCATCCGTTCCTAGATAAGGTCGCAATTCGAAAATATCGTTCGCCCCCAACAACAGGGTTTCGTTTGAAGGCCTTGAATATTGGGGTCGGGTTGGAAGGGTGATGGCTTTGACACGTGAGAAAAGATGAGCCGCCATGGGGTTTCTGTTTCTCCTTTTGTGTGTTTGCTCTCTCACAAGGTGGCTTTGGCAAGGTGGCTTTGGTGACGGCCAAGGTGGCGATCAGAGCAACGTCAGGACTGGACGTTGATCTCTCGGATTTCCTGAAAGACGTGAAGGACGGGTTGGTCGATAAGCTGGTCGACCGAACTCTCGGCGAGGACACGCTACTCAAAGTTGTCTCGTGTCAGAAAGATGTCGACGCCGACATGCAAAAGGATACGAGGGCCTCGTATAAAGCACTGAAGAAGTTCATGGACAAGGAGCAAGTGAAGAGGCTTGAGAAAACGCCAAGGATGGTGATGGCTACGTAGACTTTAGGAAACAAGTAAAGCGTGTAGCGGACAGAAGAGGGGAAATGGTGTAGGTTCGAAATGAAAACGTTAAACAGTGGACGGACTCGCTTTCGGATACGGCTCTATTAAGTTAGATGTCGTGGTAGTGCTATATGCAGCAGCACAAGGCAGGAGCCACATCTTTCACAACCAATTTGCGTTGCGAGACCTGGTGAAAAGGGGAGGTGGGCACCATGAAGCAGTTGTTGGGAACCAAAGATGGAGGACCTGTCGAAGGCCCCGGCGTTACGCCTGCCATCAAAAAGAAGCAAGTTTAAGGCAGACCGAAGCGTACGGTGCATGCTAATGTTCACAAGGAGCGGCAGTGGTTGATGCCGATTGAGGTGACCTTGCTGTCCGCAGCTGCTACGTGTACGACGTTTTGTCCGGTCGTTGGTGGGTCGCTCAGGTACCTGAATTGTGTATCCGTTCTTATACGATATGCGGATTTTGCCATGTGACCAGAGTTGAAAGCACCTCCACGCACGAGCTTGATGTGAGGGCGGGCGTGGTTGTCCAGCCGCCGAGAATCCCGCGGAAGCGTTTCGGCAAGATCACATGGTGTGGCGTGAGCCATAGGCCCGTTCTTTTTGCCATTGAACCGTTGGCGCAGATCATGGCGGACGCCGGTAGCCCCTTCAGGGCTAGATCGGCTTTTGGGGAAATTTGTTGTCCCCATCCTCTCCACCTGCTTTACCTCGGGAATAACGGCACGGATGTCTCCTTTGAACTACTCCACAAGCGGGGTGCCGGGTTACACGGGGAGGAGGATGAAGGGCATGGTAGGTCGCATCGCGGGATGATTAGGCTGCGGGTTTAACAGCGAAGTTGCACCGCGTCAGTCTACCCTTGGGTGGAAAGCGCTTCTAGGGGCAAGTGCGGAATAAGTACCTAGCCCAACCGATAAAAGAAGACCCCGTGCAACCTAGGGCTTGGGTAGAAGGTCTCGCTTTGCCCCCGGAGAAATATCTTGAAAACTTCCCTTTCGTACCCCGTTTACCACGCTCCCGCCAGTTGCTGTCTAAAAGCCCTGTCAATTGTCTCCTCGATTGTCTCAAAGCCGGAGCCGGATCAAATGTCCCCTCGATAGAGTTCTAAGAAAGTAACAAGCAGTGCGGCATTTTCAGGGAAAAAACACGTTGCACGGGGGGAACACGGGTAGTCCAAGCGATAAAAAGTTTAAAGGTGGTGAAAAAGGGCCACACGGGCAGTAAGAAGGGGTGAACCAAAGACCAACGATATGGAGGGGAAAAAAAACACGCTTTGGCAAATAATTGAATAGTGGACGAAAACAACCTGACTCGAGACTTATCGTTTTACGACAGGGGCAAGATGATGTCGCTCGGAACAAGGTCTCTATCGAGATGTCCTGGTTGGGTGGTAGGGGACAACAATAACAACCGTCTACGGAGAGGCAAAGAGAAAAATAGAAAGGAGCGGGGCACGTCTTGAGTGGCTTCTTTCAAAATGTGAATCCTGCAATACCGCACAGCAGGTGTGGGGAGGGGAGGGGAATTGAAAGGGGAGACAGTGGCTAGTGCATTCCTCGGAAAAACACGAACTGGTGGTGGAAAGGAACTGGTAGGCGTCGAAGGTATTAACCGCAACCACGCAACCACCGTGGGGGCCGTAGGGCACAAGAGCGCTCTGTAATATGTGAACGTCAACAAAAGCACGGGTGCGAAAAGCAGGCAAGCCTGTGTTGAACCTTAGCGTATACGATGATCAATCGGATACCTGACGCAAAGACACTCGACTGCTAGCGTCTGTTTTCAACCACACTTCAACAAAGGCGTCGCCGCCATATGTAGTGGCAACATCACAAAAAGATCGTGGTGGGTCTTTTTGGTTGCGTCGTGAGAAGGACCCGTAGTGGAGGAAAATGAGACCACGTCTTGGCAAATCGAGTACAAAAGCACAGGGCAAAAGTTGAATAGGGAAAAAAAACAAACTGTTTCGAGACGGTACATCTCGCCAAAGGGGTAAAAATAGGTCGCTCGAAACAAGGTCTCTATCGAGATGCCCTTCTTCTGCCCGCAGCGATCAAGTGCTCAAGGCAGCGGACACTCGAATTCCGGAGAACGGTAAACACATGTCGAAAATCATTCAAGCTATCGGGAATACACGATCAAATACTATCGAAGAATTACTTGGAGCATATCCTGTTGGCATCGTCGATACCCTACTCTTCGGAGATGACCCCTCCCTGTCAAGCAGAAAGGTTGCTCTTCCGAAAGATCAGCTCGTTTCTTTTCGACACTCACCGTTTGTTAATTTCTTATCATTTCAACACCATGCCGCATGTACTTCGGAAGCTGTCAACCACTTGTAGCGTGACTCTGATTTTACCACCACCAAATTTTACCAGCCCTTCGAATGATTCAATCATTGAAGACGCCAGAAACACACAAAAAACACGAGATTGCATGCATCTCTGTACGCTTTTGACAACCCTCACCTTTGAGCACAGCAGTCGTACCACCGAGGGTTTGTGGCGATTTGTTGCGGGTGGGATAAGGTCACAGCGCAACGACGGGAGCAAGCAGTCAGTGTTTCGTGGAGAATGGGTTGGGTGGGTGGGGGACAAAGACAACAATGTCCGCGGAGGGGCAAAAAAAATAGAAAGGGGCGGGACACGTCCTGGGTGGCTCCTTTCCAAAGGTAAATCCTACAAAACCGCACAGCAGGTGCGGGGAGGGGAACAGAAACGGGAGAGAGTGGCTAATGCACATCTCGGAATAACATGTACAAGTTGTGGAAGGAACATCGGGTAGACGTCGCAGGTATTTACCGCAAACACGCTACTACGGTGGGGGCAACAGGGCGCAAGAGCGCTCATTACTATGTTAACGCCAACAAAGGCACAGGAACGAGAGCAGGCAAGCCTGTGTTGAGCCTTTGCGTGTACAGTGATCAATCGAATGCTTGACGCAAAAACACTTGACCGCTGCTAGAGCAGGCCAGAGTGCTTTCCACATTGAAACAGGCGAGCTTCACACCCCCGAACCTGGCGCGATGTTACAGCAACAACAGCAGTGTTACCCCTGGTGCTTGGCGAAAGCTCTTACGCGAACTTCATGGTATCTCGAAAGCGGAAGGTGACACAACTTTTTGAGACGCGAGCAAACTGCTGGAAGAACCACTATAATAGACTAAAACAAGCAATAATGTCTCCGGCGGAAAAAGCAACCGCGCCACCACCGTCGAACCTCGCGGCGACAGCCAGGCAGCACGAGAAGACGCCGCCACGAAGCACGCTACAGCACTAGCAGGCTAGGAAGTAGAAGAGACAGCGGATAGCGGGGAGGGGAGAGGGAAACGCTGTGAGGCGAAGGGGAGGAATAGCGTGTGTTGTGTGGAAAGTTAGATGGGTGGGTTGAACCAAGCTTTTTGCCTGCGCACCATTAGCATCCGCAAGCACGCATCGCCTGCCGTGGATCTTCGTTGACGGAAGAACCGTTTGATGATGATGACGGTCGTGTGCAAACTAACTAACGCACGGCGACAAAAACCGTTCTTCGGTGCTTGGTAGTGTGGCGAGCATGACTCCCTTTCGGCGTTTTCAAGGAGATTTTTGTGCGCGTAGAGTCGACATTTTTCCTTTTGAATAAAAAAAACAACGGGGGTAGCCGTTGGTTGGATCTTTCCCCTTTTAAAAACGAGCAAGGGAATAAGGGTGTACAGGTGCATGTTACAGGTACATTTTTACACACAGTGACAAAAAGACACAGGTGTGTGAGATGCAAAAGTGCGCACACCAGCAACAGAAGCTTAAAAATGAACATGTGTGGTAAGAATGTCCGGTTGTACGCCGGTCGCCCCGGTGGTGTAGTGAGGACCTCGATTTCGCTAGTCTCAAGGTCGTGAGTCCGAATCCCTCATGGGGTGAAAAATGTACAAATTTGCGGATGAAAGCGAATTATAGCTGAAGAGCTCTCGTGGAGACCAAACTTTGACGTTAGCACCGTTAACGAGGGAAAGGAACAGTTGGACCCTTCTCGCGATAACATGTACATTCAGCACGCACCGTTGGAGGAAAGCGGGGAATGAAAATAAAATAAAAAGAAGAAAAAAGCCCTGGTATTTACCCCCTCCTGTGTAACCCTGGAAGATCGTAGTTCTACGAAAAAATACACTGAAAAATGTAATCCTTTCCATGCACTGAAAAATGTAGTACACGTCTCATCACTGAAACTGGGTGGACTGTCACCTTTGTATAGGACGAAAACACACACACACAAACACACACACACACACGTGTGTTCGATTAACCCCTTTGGGTCTAGCTCTTTATTTTTTTTGCGGCAAAAAAAAAGGAAAAGGAGGAAAGAGTGCGGGGAGAGAGACAGAAGCACAGCAGAAAGAGACGAGCGTACTTCTGTAGACGCAACAGCTATCTCCACCCATAGGCCATGAGGGCTGCCCGCGACAGGACGGTGGGCACAGACAGGGTCATGAAGGATTGATGCGTGGCCGCGGTGCGGCCGCTAGGGCAGGCTAGGCTTGTACACCTCGACAAGATCAGTCGTCAAGCCGCCCAAACTACTCTATTTTCAGTATATTCAAATGATCAGTGAAAATGATCAGTGAGAGGGCTTGTAGACCCATAGCTGGTTCTTGTACTTCTGTACTTCTGTGTTCCCTCCCCGATGTGAGCCCTGCCGGCTCACTACAGCTCCTGTGATTTTCCCACAATTCCACAAGCACGCAAGCACACCAGCACACACCTATCTTTGCATCAGTGGCTCTCTAGGTTCGGGCGAGGGTATGTGTGGGGCTATGATGATAGTGTATGTGTTACTACAGTACTGCTGTATGTTGGACTCGGCTACATACACTGCTGCTGCTGCTGTGTAGTAAAGCTGCTGACATGATGACTGCTGGATCTTGGGAGTGTACGATATTCAAATTTGGAGGATATGCAGCATACCACGATAGCCTGGCCTGGTTGGGCTTGAAGTGCTCCTTTTTGCTGTCCTCCTGTCTTTGCGTTGCTTGCTAGATTCGGGCGAAGGCATGTATGTATGTGGAGTTATTGATGTGTGTCTCTGTGAAAGGATATGGGGAGAGATTCATGGTGGCATTTCCATTTAGAGCAGTGTGCATTTTTCGAATTTTGGCCGTTCCAGGGACCTTGATATATACCCGCTGGCACTAAAGTCTTTCATTGGTCACCGGGAACCCGGTCGATGCGAATAATTTAGACACACCTACCTATTGACTTGCCAACACCTGGGGTGGAGGGATACAGGACGGCAACTCCATGGCATGTCACAACACCAGCATGTACAAATGATCAATCAATGATCTGTCAGGACGCCTGTAGACCCAAAAGGGTCAAGTTCATTTGTAAACACAACAGAAGCACAGCAGTGTAAATGCTTCGTTGTTTTTAGCACAGCAGTAGTTAGTTGTAAAGAAATATTTAGTATAAGGTCTCCTCTGTTGTCGTGAAACGCGGTGGACTCTACATACATGTAGGCCACGGTCTGTTATCTTTTGTGTGGCAGTAGTACACGGTGCATGATCGGTCGCATTGCTGGTATGGTTTGCCTGGGATCTACCATTTTGCTGCTGCTGCTACGTGCCGAGGGGTTGTGCGAGCAAGGTAGCCTGGGGGCAACACTTCGCAAGACAATCAAACCATTGGCGCACTTACGTGAATGCACTGACGACACTTGCCTCTAGCAGCTGCTGCCGTTCTCCCGCGCTGTTTGTCACGTGGCGAGATCAGATGTTTCATACCTTCTACTGCTGTCGCTTGTGTTAAAAACCAATGGCGCGCGCCCGTCTCTTTGGTTTTCTTCCGAAAAAAGTTTGAGGAACCGTCCTGTGTGACCACGGGTCGGAGCTCATAACGGCAGAAATGCTGTGAGCACTGGTTTCATGTGATGACAAAAAAAAACGGTGGTAGCCGTCAAGTGGAGGTTTCGCCTTTTGAAAACAAACAGCAAGGGAAAAGGGGCGAAGGCCCCCCAGAACAGCAAGTTCGATGTTGACTAATTTTAAAGACATACGCAAGAGCACCAGAAACTGTACAACAGACACACAAGACCAGTTGGAAGGCATCGCAAAAAACGAAAATCGTTGAATCCCGCACAGGGCGACAGTAGAGGCTGCTAAAAACATACATTTCACGCGTCTACCTCCGCACCCCCCCCTTGAAATCAAGATAAAACTCGCCCTATCGTACTTTCAAGTCAAAAGAGCCAAAACGGCAGGCGTTCAAATAGGTCTGTGTTGACATGTACCTGGTAATTAGTACTGTTATCAGTAGAGGACACCATGAAGAGGCTTCGCACGAGCTACTGCGGACAACCCTCCGTTGAGGGGTTTACGGTCCGTGGCGGTGTGCACGGCTGTGACAAATGTTGGATACCGCTTGGTTCCGACGCAGATTTCGGACTGTTTTCAGAGGTTGCTGCGACCTTCGATATTTCAGCTCCAGTAGCAAACCTGAACGTGCCAGCACGCACGACGCCTCTTCATGGTGCCCTCTACTGATAACAGTACTAATTACCAGGTACCTCCTGCGGGAAGGTTGTTTTCTTTCTTATGTTGGATTAAAGTATGAGAAAAGAGCCAGCGTCAAAATCCCTGTTCTGGGGGCCCTGAAGTTGAAGCCTGCTTGTAACCTTCCTTTTCTCCGGATATGGCTGGAAACCAGGCAGCGTAGCTGAAGATGTTCGCATGGCAAGAGTCTACAGCTCGCTGCAACCACCGGCTGCGGCACGGTGCAGTTTCGCGTTTAGCATGCATCGATTGGAAATTCAGACGAGGCAACCGTGGTCGGCGAGCGAACTCTAAAACAAAGGCGCTACGGCAACAACAGCGGGTAGCACACGTCTCTCTGTCATCACCAACCAATCCAGCTGCCAGCAACGTGGCTCACCACAAACAACAACATCGACCGTCGAGGCAGCTGGAGGAGGAGCAGCCACGCAGCAACCAACAGCAGCAGGCCAGGAAGCAGAGGCTCTCGCGGATAGCGGGGAGGGGAGAGGGACGGCTGCGGGGGACGGACACGTGTTGCTCCCATAGGCAACAGGGCAAACAATAAAATATGGATAAAATATGCGCAAAAAAAATACTTCTGCGGAGCCCCCTCTGCGTGCATGGGGCTCACCCTCGTCTACACTGCTTTTTCAGCACGCCAGTACTCAACACTCAGGGGGAAATCGGAGACAAAACTGGGCCACAAGTTCAATAACGTCACATAGCACATGTGATGGTCATTTTGTATGATATAGGTTTCCTTGGGTGGGAGAAAACCGAGTCGTTGACCTGAAGCCGTCTGGCGGCCTGTTTTACGCACCGCTGTTCCGCCGCTCTGGGAGGCGAACTTTGACGACAGGTTCACCCCCCGTGATGTTGACCAAATGGAACAGCGCTCGGAGATTGGAGTGATTGATAAGCATAGACCTGATATATTGATTCTAGAATTTTGGACCAGCTTTGTGAAAGCCGAAACAGACCTTCGCGCGCCGGTGCCTCAAAACGCGGCGGAACTTCCTCAATCACCCCGCAGTGGCTACGGCCGCCCGTGAGTCTGTGCTGCCGCTGCGGCCGCAACAGCTATGAAATGATGAGCTGCAGTCCTTGCCACTCTTCAAAACATTCCTGATTTTGTCTAACCACTCTCGGTTTTATGTTTACCGATTCTGAACAGGTTGTATTCCTATGTCGGCAACTGGGACCCGTTGTACCGCATGCCTCCGCGAAGGAGAAGCTACTGGTTTCCGACACATGCGGCCAAGGACCAGCAACCAAGTCCGGGCTTTCGTAGAGGAGGTCGGCATCGCAAACCAATTTCCGTCCTTGGGTGAGGGGAATGTAGGCATCAGCGCCCTCGTACTGTGTAAAAGTCCTGCTTGCTTGTTGCAGCTGTACAAAAAGCACGAGCAAAGGGCTAACAAGGACCGGAGTTAGAGACCGGCGAGCGCGCAAGGCAGCTCGGACGCCTCGCCATGCCAAGGTGTGGAGGACTGCTCCTGAATCACAAACGCACTTGAGGCGTCGATGGCTTGATAGGTACTGCACTTCGCCTGAGGGGGTGGATGCTTTGCTGGGTGCTGTGGATATCACGGGATGCGTTTTGGACATGTGCGGTGGGCCCACGGACGCCGTCGCGACCCGTCTTCGATCCACGTGCGAGATACTCACGAACGACGTGAGCTCGGGGTAAGAGCGTTGTACTTGTGTGAGTTTGCTTGAACGTATCCAGCAGCAGGAAAAATTCCTTGCACATAGATGGTCAGATAATAGTGCAAGGGAACACAGGGGGCAGCCGACGAAGGACCTCCCGGCAGCAGTTCAAATGTGAAAATCATACTGCAATGATGGACGGTTCTGTTCAGGCCCGACATGGCACGTGAACATCACGTTGTGCCGCAGGTACCGAGCAATACAAAGCGAATGCCACGGGTTTTTCATGGATATGAAATTTCGCCCCTCTCTTTTGTGTGAGTTTGCTGCGGGTTGTTCTTCTCCCCCGACGGTAATAACCGTTGCTCAGGGGCTAGAAGTTTCATGACTTGGTTTTTGGTTTTGGCTGTTGCCATATGTACCAAGTGCCTTGCAAGGGTAAATCTACGTTTGACAGACAAGACTGCATGGCCTCAACCGCACAAGGTCGTGTGCCCTTTGACAGGCCCGGGCCACGCTCCTTATAGCATGCATCGGGGGCATCCTTCTCGAACATAGGCGTTGCTATTGTAAATCCAGGGGGTGTCTTTGTTGAAGAGGGAGCGTCTCACACGTTTGGCGAAACGGCAACATGCTGGCGCATGTTTTGTTTTTCCGGATCATGTGCGCGATCGCTGAAATGTTTTTTGCTGTTGTTCTCGATGACAGGCGTCCAGCGGATACCAACCTTGACGCAAGCTTGGAGTCATTCTCGGAAGACTTTCTCGCAGCTTACTCCGGGAAAAGGCCTGAGTGTCACGAGCCCTCCGTACAGCAGGGCTCTGACTTTTGTCAAGGCCGCTATGTCGTTGGCGACAAATGCGTGGCGTTCAAAATGCCCATTTCTTTCCTGGAACCTTACGCCGAACGGGGTGGTTGGCTGCAAACGAACCCCACGTCTGTGTGTGTGTTTCTACCCAGAGTCAAATACACGCATGCGAATAATGCGAAGATGGGCGAATTCTGGGTGTGTGGTACTCAGGAAATGAGTTGCGGCAACGGGACGAGGCTTGTTTTCTGTCCTGAATAGCACGGCTGCAGTTTCGAGGGCAGTATGGTCGGATGTGCAAGTTTGGCTTGCGAAATAGTTAAGCTGGGTTGGGACATATGCAAGGCGTCACGTCCCCGCAAAACTTCTTCCAGAAATATTGGTTGTGGGAGTAGATATACTGAAGTTATATTTATGTGTGTGAAGACATCTATTTCGGGGATGCGACACGAGTATGCCCCGATCGAAGTTGGCATGTTTTCGGGGCGTGCTCTACGCAAACAAGCAAACGTCTGTGTGTGGCCGTATCGCGTGCACGTATTGAGTGGTGTCAAGTTTTTATTTTGATTGCACTAAGGTGCGTGTTTTTGTTGTTGTGTGTGTTGTTGTCGCGGCATGAACCCGGGATTGCTCTTGAGCGTGTGTATTGCCTAACTAAAAAAACTGAGGTCGATTTCATTAATCCTTGAAGTCAAGGCCACTGCCAGCACGTGGGCCACCATTCATGGCGTATTCTCGAACGTGTGCTCATGCAAGCCCCCACAAACGTTTCGCTCACCGGCACATGAACAACAAATCGATGTCTTAAATTGACCTTTCAATACTCCCAGGACTCACAAGATTCAACTGTTGTCCTTCATGATGCCGCCACGCGTTTCCCTCTATCTGCTCGTACTCTTCAACGTCGTCCTCCATAAAACTACCTGAAACCACGCCTCCACTCAAACCCGACTCGGCGTCCCTGGTCGAAGAATCAAACATACCCGGCAACTGTTCCTCGTCGCTGTCGCTGTCACTATCTCCATCCATGTCCACTAGCCCTCCCTCAGCTGAACGATCTTCCTGCATCTCACTTTCTTCCGTCTCTTCCTCGCGGCATGTAAGCTTGCACTTGCACAACTCTGAGCACTGGCCAAGAGCTTTAGTGATGCACACGCAGCTTGTGCATTGACCCCCTTGCTTCCTCTTCCCAGATGAACACGTGCACCTCACCGTTTCAAATCCACCCGGCCATATAGTTAACTTAGGGAACCTGCGCATCAATATCATACAACCACCGTCAACCTCCATATTCTCGATGTACCCCATCCCGTCCCATTTGGGAACTTGAATGGGGTACCTGGCGGAGACGTCCGAACCTAGAGAACCACTCGGCACAACGGAAAGCCAGTATTTAACCAACCACGACATCCGGAGAACGCAAAGCTCGGTGGCATCGTAGTTCGGGGCGGCTTTGCTGAGGTTCCCCGCACCGTACCATTTTTCATCAGTTCGCTCCTGAATCGCTTGGACCCACTGCCTCGTATCATCAACCTCCCCTCCCCGTTTATCTCCCTTGACTTCATGCCCTGGTAAAGCGTTAGCCAACAAACTTTTGTTCTTGACGAAGTACGCAAGCGCAACAAAGTTAACCAATTCTTGCCTCTCCAAATGTAAGTCGGTGACCACCCCATCCTCTACTATTTCGCTGCCCAGGGCCTTGACAAGTTGGTGGTTTTCGGGATTCTTCGCTAACTCGAAGTATGACTGGAACATGAAAAAAGAGTCAAGCCAAAAAACGTAGGAGTAAAGTCAGTGCCGTTGAGCATGAAGTATGATGCAATCACCGGCAGGCACCTCTGCAAACCGGTGAACGAATGCGGCCGATTCCCCATTTTGGTCAGGGCCTCGAAAAGGTTAAGTACGTCGATGCAGTTAACGGGGATTTGATCATTCAACCCGCTTTGTTGTCACACGATCACTCGAACTCTTCGAATGTACGGGTAAAGGGCATACGCGAGAAGGGCCGCTACCCAAACGTCCGTGTCGACAGATACTACCTCCACCCGAACGGGTGGTATTCCCCCTTGCCCCTGCTGGTTGATCTTGGAGCTACTACCGTCACCCTCCCCCGTCAGCGGCCTCTGTTGTTGACTGACCAGGTAGGCGAGGTGTAGTGCCTGGAGTTCGCCTTCCCCTATACCGTTCCCCTCGTCACCAATTACCAAACCGTCTTTGTCGTTGTGCCACGACTTAAAATTCGTTGTCTCCAAAAAATCTTGGGATAGGATGGGCTCACCGTCGATCCGCAACCTTAAGTTTTCCAGACAATGCTCCGACCACGTCATAGCCGTGTTGTTGGACTTTTTGGCGCGGGTGCTTTCGAACTCCCCACGAATGTACTGGCATAAACAGAAAAAACGCCATCACGGTGCTGACGGTTCTTCAGGAAGTCCTGCCACTCACCCCGAAGTGGCGTGCGATCATCTAACCCAAACCGCCACTCTTTCTCCTTGCACAAGGGTTCATGAGGCTTTTTCCGTGCCCCCTTCGTACTGGGAAACAGCCCCCGCTTAGTGTGGGCAAAGCTCTTGGGCTTTGGCACCCGACTCCGTTTGTCGAAATTGAGAATTACCTGCGCGGAACACAAGTTTAGTGCGGGACATGGTTAACCAACCACAAATACAGAACTCGCGCTACGCTCTCTGTCAAGACCTCAGGAGTGCTGCTTCCGAGCCTCCAAGCGCCCTCGACTTCTTTCGCGGAGTACGCTTGCAGCGTATAGTAGAAGCCACCGTACTCGGGACCGCTGATGAATTTCTGCAAATGTACTGTGGCCGCCCGGACGACGGCTACACGAACAGACAAAGACAGCTCCAGAGCTTCGTCAGGGTTTTGCACTTGGCACCAAAACCCCCCAACGCAACGGCGTTGAAATAGCAAGCATTGTTGCCGCGGGTCTTTGTTTGGGGTGCTCGGCAGAGTATTACCACAGCAGCAGTAGAAGCAGCAGAAAAATGGCACAGATACAGCCAGAGAGCGAATTTCGCAATTTCACCCCGAACAGCCAATTTTTACTTGAAAAAAGAGTGCAAGATCCATCCGAGTACAGCAGTACCGGCCCGCTCATAAGAAAAACCAGAAATCGAGCCCAGCCTGACTTTCTTGTGTTGAGTTGAGGTCGAGGATAACACTTTCTTATGTAATGTATAGGATTTAGTGTGGCACTCGCCGCCCAGCCTGGGCACTTTGTTAAATTTTAGAAAATCTCAGCCTGACTTTCTTGTAGACAGCTTTCTCAAGAGCGGGCCGGTACTGTACCTTTTTCTCACGACCAGGACGATCCTTTCCTTTTGCAGAGGGACTCTACTCAAGACTTTGCTGCAGCCGCCGTCGACGCCGGCAACGGTGGGTAAAACAGGTGAACCGCGGGAGGCCGTCCGACTGTCTGACATGATGACGTCCACAGGATTTATACTTTGTCGACCCCGACGCACTACACAGAGTACAGGATTTTCGGCCTACAACTTGCGCCGACACGTTATTTTCTCAGTCGAGGTCCTTCCCGGAGTTCATCCCTGGCATCATCTAAAAAAAAAGATCAAGAGAGACTTTTTGCAGAACAAGAAGAAGTCGTACGACCTCTGCCAGATGGTGACCGTTTCTCCCAAAGGCGAAGTCTTCCACGCTCCCACCGAGGACACCGAAAGGGCCTTGGTGACCATGAAGAACAACGGTGTTATCCCGTCCGACGTGTCCGTCCGGATGTGGCTGGAAGTTGTCGAGGAAACTTGCCGTCGCGACGAAGCTCGGGTTCAGCAGGCCATTGCGGTCGAGTGGGGAAAGAGACAGAGTGGTCAGGAGCAGCACCAGCCACCTCAAGAGCAGGTATGTCCATGCTACGTTTTTTTGTCTTATATTGTTTGATACTTAAAATATGTCGCTGTAGTTTCTTAAAGAGACACAAAACATTTGGCCACCTGAAACCTCCCCCTCCCTCCGTTCAGGTTGCCGCGGGCAACGCACCGCCTGCGGTCAGCTCCAGTGGTGCTGAGCCCCAAGTGGAGCAGGAGGAGAAGGACGACGCCGCCAGCGACGGCGAACCCCGAGCATCTGCCCCCGCAGCAGCAGCAGCAGCTCCCGCCGCACCCGCCGCACCCGCGGACATGGCTCTTGCGCAGCAGCACCGGGAACAACGACGTCAGCTACAGCAACAGCTTGGAGAGGAGCTTCAAGTGAAGGTGTCGCACGTGAGGAAGCACGAAGCGCAGCGGCAACAGCAGCAGCTGCAGATACAGCAACGGCAGCATCAGCTACGGAAGCTGAAAATCCAGCAGCGGCAGACACATGTGCGTAGATGATGATTTGTTTCCTTCTTTGAGAGACGTGTAGTTTCTTTGACACCCACAGCTCACTAACACACCCCACTCAAAATCTTTCTTCCTCCCCGTTCAGGCTGCGACCGAGGGTGGAGCCGGTCATGCCCAAGCCGAGGAGGCCGCCGCCGGTGGAGCCTCGGGCGCAGCCGGAGAGAGCGACGGCGGAGCCAGCCAAGTCCAAGCCGAGGAGGCCGCCGCCAGTGGAGCCTCGGCGGCCGCCGGAGAGGACGAGGTCGGTCATGCCCAAGCTGAGTCAGCGGACCAGGAGGGGGAGGGTGGATGGCAGCATGGAGGAGAGACTCCCGCGGAGGCCCGCGGTCAGCCCTACCTGGGGGCTTTTGACGGTGTGTTTTGGTTTATTTTGTAGCTTCTACAGGCCAGCTGACCTCGCTCCCCTGTCCCGGTTGAGCAGTCGGAAACGCAGTCTACCACCCACCTTGTGACGGTGTGTTTTTTACGATATCTCATCGCAGGTGTGGCCGGGACCGGAGGAGGCTCTGTGGAAATTGAGGCGGAGGCTACCGGTGGCGGCCCAGCCGAAGTTGGAGGGGGCGAGGGTGGGGTCGGTCAAGCCCAGGCCGAGGAGGGGGCGGGCGGCGGGCAGCATAGAGGAGAGGCTCCCGCGGAGGCCCGCGGCCAGAAGCGTGGTCTACCTGAGGACTTTTAAAGGTGTGTTTTTGTTTATTTTGTAGCTTCTACAGGCAGCTGGCCTCGCTCCCCGCTCCCGGATAAGCGGTCGGAAACGCAGTCTACCGCCGGACTTGTGACGGTGTTTTGTTTTTAAGATATCTCGTTGCACAAACTTAAAATCGAAGTACCCCACCGCCCCCAATATTTCCCGCCGTAGATACTGCCAAGCGGGGCTTTCTGCACCCGTTCGTGCGGAGGAAGAGGGGTTGCTCGGCGTTCCCGCTCCCCTCGAGAACAAGGGCGAGAGTGGCACGAGACCTTGGTGGCAACTGCGCCTGAACGCCAGCCGCATATACTGCAGCGGGGGCAGCACGGGCGGCTGATTAATTTTTCATGGGGCCAAGGGCCTGCCTGTGGGGGGTTGGCCGGGTTTTGTGTACACGGGCGTCTGGCGATTAAGAGGGCGCTAAACACTTATTCATGAAGGCTTGACGCAGTAATTAGGGCCTGTTTTGTAGTTTTTCAGGGGCTTATTTAGACGGGTGGCTCTCCTTTTGTGTGGTGCTGTTACACATGAGTTAGTGCCTGGCTCGGGGTTTTTCATGGGGTCGCCTGGAAGAGTACGGACAGGCTGATACTGAAAGAAAAGCGGTGGGGCACAACGTTCTTGGCAGGTAATACGTCGTGCGCGTAGTTAACGTGCCAGTATCGTAGATGACTCTACAGACGACACATGTTACACAGTTCAGATCCATGAGCGTGACAATCAACGGCAACACACACCGCGCACAAGCCTGTGCTGAGAAATACATACGCACAAAAAAAGTCGTTTGCCGACGTTTTTCTTCAACAGAAGAGGGGGAGAGGTCCTGTATCAGCCCCACCAGAGACAACACATCCATCGGCGCGGAAGGTGTTTGAAGCCGTGAACAGAGAGCGTGTTATACACATACTGGCGCCATTTAGACGTATCAGCTGGGGTCACACAGGAGGAAGGTATACCTGGACCTTTTTTTTTTTTTTCTTAATATGACACAACGAAACCATCTCTATCATAGAAAAGAGTCTGAGACAGATTAGCAATGGATTCATAGCGTCAGAAAGTACCTGTATGTCTACGATTTCCCAGACAGCATATAGGGACATCTCCCCTGCGGGTAACAGGCTCAACAAGACAGTTTGGTAGCTGTCTTGTGTGTCTCATATATGTTACGTTGGGAAGGTGCAGATGATATATATGTGTTAGGTACTGGTCGGGCGTTTTGTGTGTGGCACCCTTTTAGTCGTAGGGCATGCAATCTCCCTCAGTTATCAAACGTATTTTATTTTGCTCCACCTTCAACCTGCGGTTCGTGCCTTTGATTTTTAATGCGAGAAGGGTTCAGCGGTCCCTTCCCTCGGTTGTTTGTCAACTCACAAATAAATCGCTTTCGACTGCAGAGAAAGTGAGAAAGTTTTTAATTTTCACACAAACCGGGGTTTGAACTCCAGTTCTGCAAGTACGCTCAGGTATATACGTCCCCACCAGACGCAAACTGCGTTTATTATTAGATATGGCAGAGACGATCCGCTATTCGTTATCCCTGACCAATCACGCTCCGCGCTCTCCCAAGATGGATCGTGTTGTGTATCACGGGGTCCTACGTGCCCTCTTTTGTGTCGCTTCGCCAAAAGCTCATCGCTCCATGTCTTCAATCACCACACAACTGTTCGTAACACCCTCGCACCGGATCGTGTGACCGAGCCGGTGGTCAATGGATTGATGTTTATGTCGTGTATTATCGGTCGCCCACAGGAACAGGGCAGAGAGGCAAGAGAGAGAAGAAGAAGGAGTGGCACACAGCCAGATCCAATATCTACAACAATCCAACATCACACCAGGACCAATAGCCCGTCGAACCGACACGTGGCCGTCAAAGCTGAAGTCACACCGACACAACTCGTCGTCGCGCCTTACACCCACACCTTGATCTCGCCGTGAGTTTCTCTCTCGCCCATCTCCTCTGCAGCTCCATGCCCCACCAGCGGAAAGTTAGACGGACTACTGCACCGCCACCAGAACCCTGTCGAAGGGTGAGAGGGGCAACTATCGCAATATTTAGTTGGGTGAGTAGTAGAAATATACTAGAAGACGGGAGGTAATGAGCCGCGGAGTACCGTACCACCGGCTCAATACCTTCCAGTAGTCTATCTGCGATGCCCGTGTCACTAGGACGTGTGGAGAAGACAGGGTTAGTCTCCTGGAGCAAGGGGCCCGAGCCATTCTTTTTTCGGTCCGGTGGAAAAAAAGAAAAGGTTGATTCAACTTTTTTGGTGGGTTACAAGATTTTTCAGTTCACGTTTTCTGCTGGTGTGCGGCCAATAAGACAAAGAGTGCCCTGTTTTTGGGCCGCCTGCACAGGGCTCGTACAGAGCATCACACTAGGGACTCCTGTTGGTGGGTGTCGTCGTCCTATATCCACTCTCTGGCACGCGTTTTCGACGTGGTCACTCTCGGAGCAACCACCAAAACAAAGTACCATGAGTGATTAAGGAATAATAAAAACACACACGGAAAGACTACCCATTCGAGAGATAGACTACCACTAATTTTTCGGCCCGAAACATTCCGAGAACGACCCAGTCGCAGGCTATTTCAGCGGTCCCCAGCGGTGCCGGTTCGCAAAACAAAATTTGCCTCTTGTGTAAAATCACCAAACTTCGAAAAGAAATTACACAAAAAGGTAAGCAAATGGTGAGACCACGCCCGTGTGTCCGCACATACTCCGAAATGTATCCACACATATACTACCCAAATACATACCCAGTACATACTATACGCGTACCACATTGAAAATACGTTTGTAAACTGAGGGAGATTGCATGCCCTACGATCAAAAGGGTGCCACACACAAAACGCCCGACCAGTACCTAACACATATCATCTGCACCTTCCCAACATAACATATATGAGACACACAAGACAGCTACCAAACTGTCTTGTTGAGCCTGTTACCCGCAGGGGAGATGTCCCCATATGCTGTCTGGGGAATCGTAGACATACAGGTACTTTCTGACGCTATGAATCCATTGCTAATCTGTCTCAGACTCTTTTCTATGATAGAGATGGTTTCGTTGTGTCATATTAAGAAAAAGAAAAAAAAGAAAAGAAAAGAAAAGAAAAGGCATACTACTTGTACTACTGCACACAGCTCTATCTAGTATTGGTCACTGGCATACATACATACATACATACATACATATCCTTACACACCGGCATACCCTGTGTACAGCACAAACAACCTCCTCCGATGGCAAAGCAACTGCTGTGTATATGCTCCAGTAGAGCATGTCGGGAAGCTGGTGGCATGCCCAGCCTTGCTCTACCGTCGGATGACCGGAGGGCGAGATGGCTGAGATGTTTATTTAGGAGGCCGAACAGAACTACTGTACTACACGAAGCTTGGCGGGCGGGCGTCTCTCGTTCATGTCTACTCCCCAAGACCACCAATTGAAAAGCAACAAGCCGAATCAGGGCAGTAGCGGTTGCCCTCCGTTTGTTAGCGGACGCAAGGAAGGGTGCTGTCTGTCCCAGATCAGACGGACGAGCAGACAAGGGAGGCGACAGCAGGAGCTTTGGGGAAGTTTCGGAAGGCCGAAGCTCGGTGTGCTGCCCTGGGAAAACGAAGCCTCGGACGAGCTGGGGCACCGGACTTGCTTGATAAATTGCGGCTGTAGGACGAAGGACGATGTCATCTCTTCACTGAGAATAATATGTTGCTGGTGCGGGGTTGGTGGGAACGATGGCAGGCAGGCGTGTGGAAGGCACAGAGTCGGGGGGGGGCAGGAGGGAGGGGAGCATCAACCACACGATCCTGAAGCGGTTGCAGCCAAGCGCAGCGCGTAGTATCTGTGGTCCCGTAAGAGCACCGTCGCTTCTGGATCGTGTTCGTGCGTATAGCCTAGAGGGGCTCGCCGCGTCCGGGAGTGTGTTCGACAACGCTACCGCTGCTGCTTGTGATGTGGGTGGCGATCATTATTGAAGCGAAACAAGTAACATATTATTCTCAGTGAAGAGATGACATCGTCCTTCGTCCTACAGCCGCAATTTATCAATCAAGTCCGGTGCCCCAGCTCGTCGGAGGCTTCGTTTTCCCAGGGCAGCACACCGAGCTTCGGCCTTCCGAAACTTCCCCAAAGCTCCTGCTGTCGCCTCCCTTGTCTGCTCGTCCGTCTGATCTGGGGCAGCACCCTTCCTTGCGTCCGCTAACAAACGAAGGGCAACCGCTACTGCCCTGATTCGGCTTGTTGCTTTTCAATTGGTGGTCTTGGGGAGACATGAACGAGAGACGTCCGCCCGCCAAGCTTCGTGCAGTTCTGTTCGGCCTCCTAAATACACATCTCAGCCATCTCGCCCTCCGGTCATCCGACGGTAGAGCAAGGCTAGGCATGCCACCAGCTTCCCGACATGCTCTACTGGAGCATATACACAGCAGTTGCTTTGCCATCGGAGGAGGTTGGTTGTGCTGTACACACACAGGGTATGCCGGTGGATATATATGTATGTATTCCGCTGTGTGTGTGAGAGTTGAGGTGTGGTTGTTGTCCCCTTTAGTATGCCGGTGACCAATATACTAGAGCTGTGTGCAGTAGTACAACAAGTAGTATGCCTTTTTTTTTCTTTTTCTTTTCGAAGTTTGGTGATTTTATACAAGAGGCAACTTTTGTTTTGCGAACCGGCACCGCTGGCGACCGCTGAAATAGCCTCCGACTGGGTCGTTCTCGGAATGTTTCGGGCCGAAAAATTAGTACCTAGTCTAATAGACGTTTCAGGCCCGAAACACTTCGGTTGACGTTTCAGGCCGTGCGCAATCAACTGGACGATACATACTCCATTTCCGAACCCATGATCCAACCCCCCCAATCAATCCCAACCCAACACCCAAGAACCTAGACGGCCCCACGGTCAGCGCAACCTAAGCTACCCAACCCCATCCAACACTCTGCCAATCCAACACCACAACTCTGCTGTGTGCTGGTATGATGTTGTTCTCTGTCGTGTTTTGGGTATTTGGCCGCAGATTCCATCTAGGTGGATATTTTCCAGGGTACACCTCGGTACTAGTTTTTTAGGCGGATCCAGGCGGGGCGGTACGTCAATGTGGCGGTACTTTTTTGGCGGGTGGCGGTATTTCGTTTTCCGGCGGTACCGCCTTTGGCGGTTCCCGGTACTGCCAATAATGGCGGTACTTTTTTGGCGGTGCGTCAATATGGCGTTTTTTTTTAGGCGGTTCCCGGTACTGCCAAATACGGCGGTATTTTTCTGACGGTACTGAAATATGGCGGTACCGCCTTCGGCG